CGTTAATATTCTAAATTAATGACATTTTTTGAAATATATATATTAAAGAATTAATTTTTATATATTTTATCTTTCGATATAGTAAGGATATAAATGGCAAATAACTGAAAAGTTAATCCTAGTTATATGTGGTTAATAGTGGCTCGATCGACGGTTAGTTAGAAATCATGTGCGTTCTAATTATGCGAGTATTATATTCAAATGAAAAGAGAGATTTGCATAATTGCGCCCAAAAACGCAGAAAACTACCCCCGACAATAGCGCGCAAAAATCTACCCCACCTTTCGACAATTCAAAGGAGAATAGAACAACGCGTTCTTTCTTGGTGGTGGTTTTAGTTGGTATCGAGCAAATGCAAAAATCAATTGCTGCTTCAGCGCGCTTGTGCAGGTAATAAGAACGTTAAGGAAAGAAGGGCCATGCCTACCTGTTGCTCTTGAAGAGCTTTTTCTCGATCATTCGGCATATACGTCGGGCTGAGTACCGTCCTCAATTGTTGTTCCACCTGCACAATGTGTTGTCTCAACTGTTGAATTTCCTGAAACGAAATAAGACAATCTCGCTCGATATGGAAAAACATTGTACTGTATCGTAGTTTGAAGACTGAATGCTATCTTTCCCATAACCGCTAACCTGTTGATACTGATCTATCTGCGCTAAGCAAACTTCTAGAGAAGTTGTCTGTTCTTTAACGGTGCTGTGAAGAGAATTGAGTTCGGCGATCAGATCGTCCGCAGTATCTTTCACCCGGTTGTCGCCGACGATACCGGACCTAAAGTGCACCTCGAGCTTCTCCACGGAGATCGTGATCTTTGTTTTTTGAATCGCGATGTCGCTAAGCATTTTTTCACGAATAGCATGTTGATCGCGCAACGGTTTCTTCTTATTCTGTGGCAACTCCAGCGTCTGTTTGGCCTTCTCCATCCAGCTCCGCACGTCCTTCATCTTCTTCTCGCATTGCTCCCATTCTTCACTGGCCTCTTGCAGTAATGCATTCTGTAATACGGGGATTTTTGACAATTGACTGATATTAACTTAAATTTCGGTCGAAGTGAACTAACCCTTTCCAATAGCTGACCCTCAACCTGAACCTTGCCCTCTTCCGCCTCGGCCAACTTCTCTGGTAGGTCCGCCACGGTAGTTACCTGACCGATATTCTCCAATTCTCTGCCCATGTCACTAAGATTTTTATTCACCTGCTTGCAGCTCTTGACTGCTGTCTATAAAACGAAGGAAGTGTCAGGCAAACGTTGTCGCATATCGAACGTAAAAAGTGACGTTCTTTCACATACCGAATATTCGTGCAATCTCTGTCTGGCTTGCTGAAGAGTGCTAAGTTTCAGTGGTTCGACTAGGAATTGTCGTTTTTCCTCCGTCCATGTCTTGACAGCCTCGTAAAGTGCAAGGAACCTCTGCCAGGCATCTAGAGTGTCGCCTACGATTTGTTTTTTCTCTTCCAACCAGCTCTTGATCTGCGCTAGTTGTTCAGTAAGATTATCGATCGTGCTATTGATTAGCTCCTTCTCGGCGTCGTCCCTCGTGTTCTTGACGATGGTTTGCCCATTCCTCGTCAGTCGTTCGAGCTTATCGCTAATCGTGCCCAGCTCGTTTTGTATTTGTCTGAGGTTTTCTCTGAGGATAGCCGGCTCGATTGATCTGTCCTGTACCTTGAGCTCGGCTTGTCGAATCCATGCTTGCACCTCGTCCACGTCGGTTAGATAATCCGACCTAACAGTCCTAGCACGTTTTTGCTCTCTCTGTTTTTCCTCCATTGTTTGTGTCGTTGCTTCGGCACAAAGCTCGAGTGCGGTCAGATGCTGGGTAATGTCACTTGGTACTAGCTGCTGGCTAGCTTGGTACCGCGCCTTAATGCTTCCTGAGAAGTTCTTGGCGGTGTCAACGAGATCCTCAATCTGTGAGTTCAGCTCTCCCAGTTCGATCTCGGTCGCGTCTTGATCAACGCCGTAAACGTATAAGTTCGACGCGCTTTCGCGCGCCTCGTTTAGTCGCTTCCGCAGGCGCTCGATCTCACGTTCGATGTTTTCGAGCGCCTTCAAATCCTCGCTCGCCTTCTCGGACTTCCCACGAAGAGAGCCGACGAGTCTAAAAGGACGATTCGAACGGTGACGATTCGCACAGCGAAAGAGAGTCTCGTAAAGAGTGACTCTTAACATTTTTTTATCATATAGACGCGTTGAATTTATGTAAATACGTTTGGTCATTTAAGGGAAGGTTGGCGAGAAAAGCAAGCTCGGTTATTTAATTTTGAAACTAAAATACTTGTCTCTGTGTAATATTAAATTCCTGTTAAACTAAAAATAACAAAAAATTGAATAATATTAATTGTACAAAAAAATATAAATAGTATAATGTTGTTTATATATTTAAAAAGATGAATAAAATAATAAGATGTAATTATTCTTATTATTGCCTACATATAACATGTTACAGACACATATGATTTATTGAGATGTCGTTCCAAATAACAGACATATTTCCGAAACATATTAAAATATATTAAAATTCCACGTGAAAAAAATTGTATGGAATAATCGGTAGTCTTAAAGATTTGTGGTGGGACAAATTTAGAATCGGAAATACGTGTCGCTGTGCTTCGGCTGGCCCGATCCCAGGCGAAGTCGCGCAGTCAGGGCAGCCTTGGCTAAAAGTAGACGAAGGAAGTATGTACCGACGGGAGTTTGGCCGACTGTTCACACTTGTGGTATACCACGAAGAAAACACTGTTTAAAGAAGATGTTATATGATTTTACGAGACAATTATTTTATTTAGCACCCACACAAAACACAATCGATGCGTTTCGAAAAACAAAATGTTTTTTCTTTCAGATACTAATTTTTTATCAAATCGAATAAACTAGAAAAAGAAAAGTGTACGATTTTGTAATAGAATTTTAATAATATTATATAAATATAATTTTTTCTATTTTATGTTTACCGAAGAATTTTTTTGACAAATGCACAAAAGTCTCCTCTCTCTTTAAATAAGAACAGAGTAAATTACATGATTTTTTTGCTGCCAGTTGCACAGTCAACATAAATCACAAAGAATAATTTAACGTTGATGTCATCTGCTAAAAACTCGTATGTTGTCATCCTTGTCCTTTTAGAAGGAAAGTACAATTTTGATTTCATCATTACTAAGGCGATCTATATTTTCAACGATGACTTTCGTTTCTCGGACGAAGAATTACGCAAAATTACAAATTTGAAATTTATTACGACTCATCCAGTTTCTCTTTATGGTCTACTTGCTAGAGAGTGAACTCTTATTAATTTAGTACAATTAATTTTATCACGTTACAATATGCCATCTTTTAATTCGACATTAAGTATAAGTTGGCGATTATGTATTTGCCGATTTTTATACGTTGCTCTCAAAATACGTGATACCATGGGGATTCTCGAAGTCAATGTTGACTTTTGTCGACGATTCTTTTCCTACGATGACATCATTGGGCTGGCTTGAATGCGAGATACGATTGCCGGCCGGCAGATGTAACACGACGGAAGACAGATAAAAAATTAAAAAAAAAGAAAACAAAGACTTGCGATGTAAGATTTACATATTAGTTATGTAAAATATAGACTCTTTGATTTTATTTTACATTATTATTAACTTTTAAATTATTTTTCAACGTATCGTTGAATGTAAGTTGTTTCATATGAGGTATTTAATTGTCCCTATTTGTATAACATTTTCATTTTGTGAATTCATTCACGTGACCGCGCGCAGTAATGAAAATTGCTCATCTGATATAAGAAATAAGAGAAATTAGAATGATAAATTTGCGTGCCGCGACAGCCGAATCAAATTCATCGTCAAAATGAGTTTCCTTCTAGAAACTATTAACATTTGCACGCAGTGATCTATTTCCAGCGCTATGAGTTTAGGTGCGAAACGATTATCTGTTCTCACGCGATCTCATATAATCTGCGATAGCTTCATCGATCGCACAACTTGCTGGTTGCGATCATATGCTGTGCACGATTCTATTTCGTTAATTGTAGTGCCTAACAGATGTCGTAAAAATTTCTCGTTACTAGCAGTGTTTGAATGAAATCACTCTCAATCTATCTGTACGAACAATATCGTAGTCGAACGATAAACCCGAGCAATATATATACCTATGTATGGTTGAAATAAATGCGCGATATTCGTGTTTTCGCGATACAGTCGACAGCGAACCGAGCGCGAACTTTTCACTTTCTTCTCTTTTTCTGGACTATTTGTTTCTTTAATCCTTGTTTTTGTTCTTGCGTTTATCTGGATAACAGTATGGCGCGGCACTATCAAGCCAAACAGCAGCGTTCGCGGTTCGAAACGTTATTGGAGGGATACAGTCGCTTGAGCTAGCGTTAGACGCCAGTTGAGACGCATTGGCGAAGCGCCGCGACGCATGCGGCCTGATCTTAGAAACGGTTTGGCTAGCCAAGAACGTCCTAAGAATAATCGGTCAGTGAATATGTGAGGCCGATAAGGAACGGAGAATTGGAGGACTGTACCGAATGAATTTTAAATAATGACACGAAAAACACGTAATGACCGCATCGTGCAATTTGTAGTAGAAATTTTGCGACTAATTTTGGTCGGAGTTTCTTATTATAAATTTCTTTGTGCGACTTTATATAATTTGTTGTGCAGTCTTTCTCGGCGAAAATGGACTGGATACATCCGGCGATTCGAACTAGTATCTTAGCTGGATGAAATCAGCAGATTTATAGGCGTACTGCACGTGATTTAATCGGTACCGTAACTATCGCGATGAAATAACACAAGTCATAATAACAATTGCAAAGTGGCATAGCAATTAAAATGGATTGCATGCACTATTGTTTAAAAATGTTCAGATAAAAGTTGAATTATATATATATATATATACATATATAT